TATGACCTAACCACTTGGTGAATAGAACTATTCTAGTGTATTCGGCATCTCCTTCAAAATGAAAGCATATCAGTCATCGCTGTTGTTCCGTTTGTCATCGGTCATCTGTGAAAACCGTTTCTAGTTCGCCTCTTCGTCGAGCTTAGCAATTTGTTTGCAAACGTTTCATCACCATCCGAGGTGACCACATCGGTGCTTGTGAAGTAGCAGCGCTCTGCTTGTACCGGCTCCCTCATGTGTTCTTCTTCCCTGTTCTCACTGTGTTCGACTCGGTTCGCAGTTGAACTGGTGCGACGGATTGGGGTTTGGAGGAGAGGAGACTGTCCTTTCATCCCGATTGCGGTTTCTGTCCGTTCTCACGTCACGACGTGACTTTTTTTGTTGTGTCATCTGGTGTTGCATGGAGTTGCCTTGGTGTGTACACATGATCCAGTCCGATGTGCCTGTTTATTGAGATGATTAAAGAGTACTAAACCTCGAGAAATTCTCTGGCGTGTTTTGACCAAGCTTGGTCGATAATTGTCACTGATTCGAAGTCAAACTGATGTTCTTCTTCATCTTTGTGGAGAGAGATCAGCGATGGTCGGTCATATCTCCTGACTGCCAATTGATGTTCACTGGTCCTAGTTCACAGTTTCTTTGCAGTTGGTCCGATGTAGTGTTTTGAACAGATTTGCAGTTTATTTTGTAGATGACGCTGCTCTTGTCCTTCTCCATTGTTCACTCTTTGGGTTTTGACAGGAGTTCCCGTAGACAAACGATCGGTTTGTGGGCGACTTGGATTCCATATGATCTGAGCAGTGTTGCAGTTATTTCAGTAACGTCCTTGGTATACGACAGGGTCGTTGTTGCCCTCCAGTCTCCGTCTGTAATTTCCTTCGTTTTTTGAGCCACGGTTCTTTTAATGAATTCCTGTGGCTAGGCATTACGAGCAAACAGTTTGAGGAGGTAATTTTCTTCGTTACCCTTCATGGTTTCTGTGTTGCGTGCGTTTGGATTCTTCCGAACCAGGTTCCAACACAACTTCTTTTGTGGTTGTGTGGATGATTACTTTTGAAGTTTAGGATTTGATCCGTATGTGCTGCCTTGCGGTATACCGTTGTCTCCGCTTTTCCTGACGGCGTTCTGATGATGAAGATGTCGCAAGATGCCAGTTGTGTATTGTTTTCGGTCTCCGTCGTGAACTTGATGACATTGAATGTGTTATGGATAATGTGTTATATGTTCGTTCTGGTTACGACTGCATCACAATCACGAATGTATATGTTCAACGTTCGTGGATTTCACATTCGAATTTGAAGTACGTCTGCATGCATAGTTCTATGGGTTCGTAAATGGCAGGTGGTTCCGTTGGTGTATTTCGTGGGTGCTCAGTCATCAGTTCCCGCAACGTTGATATTGCCAGGTGTAAGTCAAGCGAAGTGAACAAAGCGGTGACGTCGAACGATGTTCAATGTGCATGCGACACACGCATCGCGAATCGAGCAGAACTATATGTACTCAAGTTGACAAAATATTGATCATCCGCGCTCGTAACTCGGTTCGATTGAATTCATTTTCATCGCGCTTTCCAAATGCCTAGCATAGAATCTATCCGCCAATTGCATCTGGTAGTAGTCGGCAAAGCGAGCGTAGTTCTATCCTGGAGAACCCCGTGAAACGATCCGAGAAGCAGATAAGACACTGAGTGCAGTGCTATCAATGCCATGAATGTACACGACATTTTTCAACCACAACGATGCTAACGTATACAAGATGTTTGTGCAAACTGATCAATTGTTTTGCGATGTCAAATGNCTATTCCGTAACAAAGAATATTGCGTATATGTCACGATAACGTTGATAAATCCTGGGCGTATCTTTGGTGACTCGGCTTACAGGTCTTACTGAAGCATTGGATGTGGAAAACGAAGTGACGAGCTCAGTGTATTTTACGAAACAGAGCACAGCCGATTACGTGGGTATACGAGATACCACGACCAATGGGAGTGAAGAAGATGTAGAGCCGAAAACGGATGCTGAGACCGATGAGAATCGAGGAGAAAATGACACAGAACTTGGAGGTAAGAGAAAGTGAAGCCAAAGGGAATGCATAGACGATTGATTATAAATCAATATGTATGTGACCATTTGAAAAATTACAATAATTATGTATTGGGCATTACTATTCGTAGATTAACTCGGTAAATTCACCTTTTATTATCTTCAGATCATTATTACATGTTCTATTGCATGAAAACTATAATGCAAACCGTTGAGTGATAATTTACACTTCCTATCATCCTTTTATTTTTATCATCACTAATGCTGGGAACGGACATATTTCCCACTAGATGTGTCACAACACAGGCATATTTATACGCATTCATTCACTCAGTGCTCCGTTCGAGATGTCGAATGTTCATTCACTTGCCTCGAAGCAACAGTAAATTTCAAAGCAAAACACAATCACGTCTGATAAATTCGTATCTCAGATGCTACCGACACAGTGGGCAGCAGAGACCGGAGAATGAACTCGCGTTATTCTACCGAAAAGAGCGGAGGTACTGAAGAACGCAGTGAGGATCCAGTGAGTATCGGAACGGAAGGAAATGCTGGTCAATGACAGGAATAACCAAGGTGAAACCGGAACCAATTTCGAAGGAAGAAACAAGTTTATAAAATGATTTGAATAGATAATCATACGCAACGTGTAAGTAACCACATATGAGAAAATTCTAATGTGTTTTCGGCGCATACAGAAACGACAGTCGTCTGACTCTTGTGCGTGTGATCCATTCGTGAATAACCGATTCCATTCTACGCTACTAACAACAGAGGTAAATACACTGCGGATGTCCATAATACAAAGATTGCACGGTACCTCCAGGAGCAGTTTGGAGCTCAGAATGTGTCCGCACGAATCTGCTCCTAACTTAATTGTACATTCGGTGGAGAATGACGAACGTGATTATTTTTGACCCTATTTTGATCAGATTTATACTCCTATGAGTGGAGCATTCATTAAAGATGTTCTTCCTAAAACCGAACTCCAACCGCGACGCTATGCGCAGCAATCTAGGGCCCGGAACCCAACACAGAAAATCAGAATACACAAGAGAGCGTGCGACTCGAGATCGGGTTTACGAGTTAATGAATGATCGTGAGAGTACATTAATTGATTAAATGATGATCGACAATTAAGTCAAGCTTGCGCATGGACAAAACGGTTTGGAGGAGTATTCGTCAGTGTCTGCCATGAACAGCTGTGTCAAATGAATGGATCATCGATGGGAACTGATAGACGAATGCGTAGTTAGCATTTTTTCTTAGATACTGATAGCAATTGCTTTCTTCAGCCGCCCACACACGAGAAGGGGTCCTAATCATAAATTACAATTCTTTAACAGACTTTAATCGATGGATATATGATATTGCTGTGAGAACCGGGAGAAATATCATCTCCCAATACTTCAATGCATTTACGAATTTCCGCCTCGACCGGGAGGCAGCACCTCAAAGGTTGTTAATATTCATCACTCATTATGGAGTGATCTTTTCGTTTTAAGCTGAAACAAAAGAAGGGAGGGAGATGAAGAGAGGCGGATGGACGTCCGTCGTTTGGATCCACCTTCCCGTAACAGCTGACAACAATCTGCCACACAGACAGTTGCTTTATCTAAGGCATGAAGCATAGTCAACTGTTTGGGGTACTGGATTGAAAGATAGATCAGCGGGTTTGCAGTACAGAAATTCCACACAGTAGTAGCGAAAGTGTTTTCTGCAATGTGGACATGGTAAATCCAGGAAAAACACACATACGGTGAGTTTAAGTGAATATTTTTAACCCAATCGATTAAATTTCTTGCATGACAGAAATCGATTACCAGTGCTGAGGATTTCATTTAGTTTTTGCACAGTTTAGTTTGACAAATATTCTCAGTTTTACTTCCTTTTATTGATACATAATTTTTAGGAACAAGACGGGGCCAATGAAAAGAGCTGCCATTAGTAAATCTCCGAAACGAACTTCTCTGGTTAACTGTAACGCGATACATGTGGAAACGAATAACTAGAGAACAGTCGAACTTCGCATATAAACAAGTACACGCTTGACGACCTATGGTCCCAAATGTTTAGAGATTGAAGATGAGAGTGTCTAATAATCTTTGTAAAATGAAGGGAAATACTGGGCCTGGGTGAGTGAATGAAGGTATTCGATATTCGATATCATAACCGAAAGGAATTGAGTAATGATTCTCGAGGTTTTGTACGTGGGACCGAGACGCACCGAAGCGGGAATGAGGTGAAAAGGCGGAAACATCTAGACGCCGGATAGCAGACATTGGCAAATGCTATGTGCTGAAACCTTGTGACGCACCTCTCAATGTGAGCACAATAGGGTGTATAGTGAAAGGACTAGCCATCTTGTTGTCGATGTAATATGCTTTCTAAATGTTTGACTGGTACTTCCGGTGCATTTGATGCACGGTCTTTGACCACGGTCGAACACAATTGTAAAGTGATTCTCGAACGGTGAACACGCGTAAGAATAACAGGGTTGTGTACATGAAAGCATGCCGAATAGTTCGGGGAGAAAACATCTGTTCTCTTATTGCTTTCTTGCAGTGCAATACTTAATCTATGTATGTGCAGCACAATTCCCGTCATCATTACAATTTCTAGCCAGATCCTCCACCCGAAATCGCATGTTTCACTTGTACACGTTCAAATGCAGCGTGTTTTGTTTCATTTGTACCAGTGCAAACTGTTCACATGTCCATTTCCATTGGCTGTATAATTGAAGTGTCCTTGACCTCCACTCACTCGCTTATGTCCGTTAGCTTTCATTCCGGATGCATTCCACGCCTTGTGTATCGACTGTCTCGGTACCAGGTGATCTACCAAATAGGGAATACACTGGTGACGGGACCTATGTCAGTCGTCTGGTGATTGTATATGAATACGGTCATGTTCTGTTCAACATTCTCCTACCTGTAGATTCTTCTGAGTATCCTGCGAGGAAAGCCGACTGTTGTGCTCTGCTATTTCACGGGGTGTTGAAAGCATGTCACGTGTATGATCCACGGTAAAGTAGGGAATATTAGACTGTGACACGGCGCGTTTGGTTTGTGTGGGCGCGTTACTTCCGAGTTTTGGGTGACCGAACAAACAATACGAGCTGTTCTACTGCCAATCCTAAATGCGATGGCTTCATCTGAGAAAACGATCATTTTACAAGTCAGTTAGATCGTGGGTTGGAATCACTTTCTCTCAACCACAATGAAACCGCTGTGGACTGGTTTCGATCACAGTTTATTATCACTCCGAGCGACAGTTGATGCAATAAACATGTTTTCCGATGGTCAAAATTATTTTATCCTGAAACGTCTGATCTCCAAGAGCCATCTTCCTATTTTCACGTTCCTCTTTCAGCAGTAACCACCGAATCGAAATGTTCCACGGACCGGTCTGATTCACTATTTCTCATTGCAAATGTGCTGTTTGTGCTGCATCACGTCTAGGAATGTGTTGATGGTTGACCGTTGAAAAACGAAGACATCAAACAGTCATTCGTTGATCACATGCTGTTTAGCGAGAGAAAATATAATGATCGTCAATCTCCAACGACTTTAGAAATTTGCAACAAATTCATTTCTTATTCGACACCGATTTCTATTTATCGTGATTGTTGCATTGCCCGTGTTTCATCGAACTGCAAAACGTGTGTGTTGTGTATGTGCATGTCGTTTCCCACTGTTGGACATGCTCTCGATTAATCGAGGATATAATTTGTTCATATGGGTGATTTATTTGTGTACTGTGCTAATAGAGCATGAACTGAAATGTTAGCAAGCGTTGAACCACTGATTGGACCGCGTTGCGGCTCGTTCGCACTACCCGGTATGGTCTTTCACGTTTGTTCTGTGATTGTGTGACTTGCATCCAACGGAAACATGAATCCATGTCTGGTCGACTGCCGTAACCTCCGAAATGTTCGATATCTGAACTGCACGAGGAAAACGAGATGTAGCATTCAGCTACGAATGACACAAATGATCAATACCCAAAGCGAATATATAACGATAACATGCAACAGTTTATTCCGCACAGACATCATAGATCAGGTGCAACTAACGGGATCTCCACCTATTTCTTAGCAGAGTCATCCACCGTTGCTGTTCACTTCCAAATCGACCATGCAAACCGTTCCCCTGTATTGACGACCGAATGCGAATTCCTTTCAGTTTGGAAAATGTTTTGTGTGAATTTCATCCAAAAGAATCAAATCGAAACTCCATTGAGTAAAACATTGCTTGCCAGGTTCGCCAAACATGCGATTAGAGAAGGGAATCAGCTTTAGTTGAGCTTCGGCCTGATTCAGAATTTACAATGTTTGCACCTACTGCGTATTCGCCTAAAAGACCAGCAATGGACGCTAACCTGTCGCTTTCAGAAGCGGATTGAGATGTCATCCTTCAATGCATTTTTGCGTATTACAAACGCTATGGTTTCCACATCACCACAGATCATCGAAAATTGTCTTCAATGTGAGCGTCCTATTTCATTCCAACCTGTGTGCTATATTGCAGCACACCATGAACATGCTCCATGATCTCATCAATAGCTGTGTGATTGCCACCAACTTGGTTCCACCATCTACTTGGATTCCATGTGAAGCTCGTTAGTAATTTTCGTAACCGTTCAATATTGATGTGATTTAGATGGAGCTCCACCACATCATCTGACCGTGTTCAGAGTAAAACCATTCGCTTGATGTTTAAACCGCTATCAACATACTCTGTTCATTCGCGATTCAAAAATCCACCAGTTGAGCAGAAGTTATATCCTGTTGTTGCCAAGGGATTTTATTCTCTCGGTCACCATTCCCAATACCCTCTCCTGAATCCAGTAGCACAAATTTGACAAACAGCATCACTGTTCAGTACACAGTACACATTAGGGCAAATCAAACTGCCATCAAATCAATGTTTGTGATTTCTGGTATTTCGAAACAAAACAACTCCACTATTTTAACTTATTTTATATGATACGTGTGAAATTACTCAACTGAGTAAAACATTGCTCGCTAGATTCTCCAAT